ACAAATCAAGAAAACCAATCACAAAATTACCAAAATAAAACAATCTTCATTAAAGCAAAAACATAAAAGAATGATGTACAATAATTAAAACAACACATACATCATGCAACCTAGCTATATTAAGGTATTCAACACATACCTCATATAAAAACATACCTTAGAAAAGGGGTAGTAGCAGTTTCACCAATTAGCTGAATGACGAGGAAGATCAGATCATTCGCCTCCACTTTGAGAGTGATCTTCACTTAATCTCTATGGTTCTTGTCCAAAAAATTATCCAAAAAAATGTAACATTTTCACCTTTATTTTCAAATAATTGAGATAGAGAATATATTTGAGGAGGATGATACATGTGAAGTGGATGTGGGTGATACATTGGTGGCAAAGGGTACATTTGAGGCTGATATGACACATCATAATTAGGAAATAATGTATAATAACCATGTGAAGGTTGAAAATATGAAGATTGTCCTGGTGAATAAAAATCATGAGTATTAGTACACGAATCACTATACCCATGGTTACTAGAAGTTGATCTCCTACTGGAAGAATAACCTTCAGAATTATGTTTTTTGGGGTATTTTCCTTTTCTTTTTGATCAAGCTATGGGTTCCACTTCTTTCTATAGTAGATGCATTAGACATATTGCCTCTAAATTTTGACCTATCACAAAAGTATCCACTACCAGTATAAACATATTCTTCTCCATACCGACTAGAAGATCTAATTTTACCTCCGCCACCACTTTGTGTATCATCATCATCAATTGGACTTAAACCACCACCGTCGAGCCCATCACCACTCTGACTTGGCTTTGCACTGGAACTTGAATGAGATAAATTTTGTTGTTGAGATTGATCATCAACATTCATTTTATCATCTGAGATATCCACAGGTAACACACTGATAATTTCACCATTTAACAATGGATTCTCTTTCTCTTGAAGCCATTATGATAATGGATCAACATCTTCAAATATATATCAAGGTTGATAGGATTAAAACTAGTGTTTATATCATCGATGCTCTTTCTTTTCTGATGTCTTATCTGTAGCCTCATATTATAGTAGGTGAACACTAATTGCTTAAATCTTTTATCTCATATTATAGTAGGTGAACACTAATTTCTCAAATATTTTATACTTCAACATATTTCTTGCTTTTATGTGAATATAGCTAAATGTGCTCCAATTTCTTTCGCAATTTGTTGCATAAATTGTTTGACTAAGTACTTTAATTGTTAATCTTTGCAACTCAAGAACAAATGTGTCATATATTATCCACCACTCAGCTGTAAAATAGGATTTAAATTTTAAAATAACTTAAAAAATGTACAATATAACTAAATAATATAAATTAAATAATTTAGTTAAACATTTACCCGAATTCATTTGTCTCCAAGCTCTTTGTGCTTGTGGAGTACCGAAGGTCTCATATTTATCTCGAAATAATAACAACTGCATAAATAAAAGCTATAGTAAAAATAAAAAAAATACATCTTCAAATTATGTAACTAAGTTACAAATAATAATGTTTAAATTTAAATTGATTAACCATTCTGACTTGAGTATCAAGAAAATGTTCTAATCTTTCAATTATCGATTGTGTACCTTCTAATGTTCTATCAACACATTCTCATAATGCTCCACCCCAAAGTGAAATTGAGGGTTGAGAAAATAACCTAAGCATAATTTATAAGAATATCATTAAACAATAATAATTTAAAACTTAAAATAATAAAATTCTATCTATAATAAAACAATAAAATATTAAAAAAAATTCTTAATTATATGAAATTTTTTATCTTACCAGCTGAATGCAAGTCATAATGTATAAAATTTCACCTATTATCAATAATCTTTCCGTACTCGATGAAATATTGACAATCCTATTGAATTGCTCGTTCAGCTCTATCAACAACTTCATAAATAAAGCTCGTTGTTGGTTTTTCATCACTATCCACAAGTCTCAATACTTTGACTAGGGGCTCATAAACTTTTATGAGGTCATTTTTCAAAAATCTTTTCCCAAAACAATCTTTTTAGCTTCATAAGCATGCCTTGGTTTTTGTTACCTCAATTTTGAATCTCTAAATTCCTATATATTAATAAAAAAAATAAAACAATACAATATAAATTATTTAAGACTAATAAAATCATTAAAGAATGCTATATTTAAGTAATTATATAACAAATTATCAAATACTTACCTTTGAATTAAACATTTCTCTTAGACCTTTTTCAATATCTTGTTATCTCTTCAAGCTGGATGAAATGAGTTACGAATAGAGTAAGAACATGTCGACGTATTTGCTTTCTATGTGTATACTTCTTCATTAAATCAACAGTCCAAATGTGATTGTATATGAAGCAAGTCACTTTCTTAGCCTCATCTAATATTTTTGCTACACTAGGTTTTTTTCAATATCTTCAAGGCATAAATCTAAACAAGAGTTGCACATGAGGTCTAGTATATATTCTTTTTTTCAACATTATTTTTCCCAACGGCTTTCATTATTGCTTCATTATCAGTCACTATTTGGACAATGTAACTTTCTCCAATTTCTTTTATAACTGAATCTAATAAGTTGTAGGATAACTCAACATTTCTACTACGAACACTTGAGACATCCACAGATTTCAAAAAATTGGTTCATTTATATAATAAACAAGAAAATTAATGATGTAGATTTAATTCAAACTGTTAGTCCAACTATCATACATTAGAGTTGCACCTAAATCTTTCCAATGAGTCTTCAGTCCATTTATCCAATCACTAACTCCTTGAAACTCTGACTCCAAATACATATCTGAAACCTCATAAAATATTGGGAGCTTTACAGCTTATCTATCTTCTATTGAAACTTGAACTAACATATATAACCATGGAAAGCTTACTAATGAAAAAGAAGTCATTCATATATTAAAATTTTAGATACCATTTCACTCATCTTCCTGCGTAAAGTCTTTAAAAAAGAACTAGTGACCTTTGATTGTTTTGAGCTCTTGCTTCTAACCAATTCATGTATAGCTCATCGTAAGGTAAACTCAGCCTCACTTGTTCTTTCTCTATGATAACTTCTTGCTGATCTATGAGAAAATCATCCTTCTTCATAAATGTTACTCTAACCACCAATACTTCATCTGAAAATTTTCCTTCTATGCCACTCATGTTGTGATTGGATACTTTCTTGAGTTGCTTACCTTGAGCATCAATATCATCAATGAATCTCTCATTTTCATCTCATCTTCTCTTAACTGGGAAAAAAATTCATTTGTTCTCCTCTTTGTGTTGCATTCTTTCAATATATTCATCAGACTTTCCCTAATGACACCTATTAATAAAATAAAAATAATTTACATTTCATATTATTATCAATTATATGTAATTTATATTGATAAATTTATAATAAAATTTAATAATAATAACATATCACATACCAGTAACATTAGGGCATGGTGCAACATTTTCGATTTTATGAGCAATGTACTCTTTAAGTTGTGTTATTCCTCATTTCGCAACTTTACCACAAATTTTACATGCAACGCTTCCTCTCGTGTATAGTACTGGAGTTTCAAAGTGCCAACCTATATAATTATTTGGTGTACCCTCTAATCCTTTCGTCGAAAACTCTTCATGTGGTGGCATGTTTCATTTTTATTTATATACAAGAAAAATAAAATTAGAATTAGAATTTAAAAATATAAACAATTCATTATTTCTATTATCATATGCACTTAACTTATTGGGTCGGTTTGTAACCCAAATCATTTTTAAGATAAGTTTGTAAGTTAAATTTAATAATTTATTGGGTGTGTTTTGGTCTAAACTAGGGATGACAAAAAAATCGAACTCATCGGGAAAAACCAAATTAAACGGGCCGAGGATGGGGATGATAAACAGGGACGGGATGGGGAAAAACCAAAATTTTTAAACGGGGACGGGGACGGGTTTAGTAATCCCCACCCCGATTACCCGAATACCTGACCCGATACCCGACCTGATACTCGGTCCGATAAATATTAAAAATAATTATTATATATATAATATTAATAAATGTAATTTAAATTTAAAAAAATATAAAAGAGATTATGATTTAGGAGAACACATCTTATAAGTTTATTTTTTCAATTGTATTGTTAATATGATATGTTATATAAATTAATAAATACAACAACTTGTTCACAAGAGTCCGAAGCATATTGTAAAAGCATCGAATATGATCTTGATGATGGTGACGAGGTACTAAATTAATATACAAGTTATACGTGATAGCATTAACTTTTTATATAAATTTTGGTGGCTTATAATTTTTTTTATGTAATTGTAGCAATCGGGGGTCACAATTGTTTGATGACGGTGGTGGTGTCGTTGACGTGACTTGGAAGTTGGAACTTTAGAAGAATTATTTCGTTTATGAAAGTTGAAACATTATATTATTAGTCGTTGTCATTATATTTGTCTATTTGAATTGTTTTGTTTTTATATTTTGGATTCATTTGGTGGTATTTGACGTTTCAAATAAATTTAGACCCGATAATGATATCATTTTTTAAATAACTCGTGTCATCGTGTGAAATTTAAACGGTAACGAGGATTCCTGCGGTAAAAAATAACCATCTAAGGTAAACGAGTAATTTTCACCGCGGTGAAATTTATTCGTTTAAATAATCGTTTATGCTAAACGGAGATACCCGTTTCCCGCGATTTCCCCCTATTACCCGATAAAAACTCCCGTTTAAATCCCACGATTTTTTAAATGAAAACGAATACGAATTTTTTAAACAGGGACAGAAGACCAATCCCCGACCCAAAACCGCCCAATTGTCCTCCCTAGTCCAAACCCAAAACATTAAAAGTAAAAAAAATTAAAACCTAAAACATAATTATAATAATAATAATAATGATTAAATCCCTTCTTTCTTACTCTATATCCTGCGTGAGTGAGAGGGGAGGCCGAGGCCGAGGCGGAGGCGGAAACGCAGGGCAAAATCAGAGAAAAATAGGAGTTTTTTCGTTAAAATTTGTCCAATTTCTTCTTTTTTTTTTTTATGTTCTTCAATTTACTTTTCTTGCTATACCTTGATTCCTACCAAAAATACCCAAAAAAACTTACTTTGCACAGTTGCTGCTGCATGTTACACCAAGAGCAACGCAAGAAGCAATTATAGAAAGAAAGTAAGTAGTAATTACTTGAATATATGAACTTCTCCTTAAATTGAAAGATTTTTTTTCTGATTTTGTTTGAGTTTGAGGCTGTGCAATGAAATTTGAGAGAAAATCTGAAGTTTGAAGAAGGAGATTTGAAATTGCAGTTGGGTTTTTTTATTCTTTTGTTTTGAATGATTGAATCCTTGTTCTTAACTTTCTTTTTATCTTTTTGTCAGATTATTTTTTCGTTTTCTGATTGAAAGTTAGATGAGTTTCACAGAGGAATTTATTCTTGTATTGTCATTTTCCATTGTTTGATTTAATCAATCATCAATATACTTTTTTAAAATGTTGCTGTGTTGCTGACTCGGTGTAACGGCAAATAACGGGAATAGCGGGCCGTTATGGCCGCCATCGGCCGTTTTAACTTCTTTCTTTTACTTGTAGATTTGTACAACCTTCTGATCTTATGCGTTGTCATGTCTCCTGTAGGTTAGTGGAGCTAGAAGCATGGAGAGAGATACTGTAGAATCTGGCCTCACATTTACTGGTTTTGCAGTAAATGTGTTGTTCCACTATTAAAGTAAATATAGAACGTGATTGATTTGAAAAATTGTAAATCTTGAAATTTCTCTTAGTCCGATCATTTAAATCTCTTTGCTATAGGAAATTTGTGCCAGATCATAAATCTTGACTTGTTTCTCATTTTCTCTAATAATTGCCAAAACCTGGGCAGATTGGATTTTTGCCATGCCCTTCCTGTTTTCCATGTTCCATTTGTTCTTTCCTATGATTCATGTTTTCCTTTGAGAATGGGAAATACTTTGTTCCATTGGTGTAACATATCACTGTGGGGGTTTTAGGGCTAGTGGAAAATACTTGCAATTGCAAGTGTGCTCTGTCTGCATTACTATCTCAAGTGTGCTGTATGCATTACTATCTCACCTTCCTTCCCTAAGTGGTGAATTCCTAGATTGGGGACTTAACTTTGTGTTTCTCTGAAAACAAATTTTCTTAATTTTAGGTTTTGAAATGCGGATGATGAAGGCTGTAAAGTGGAAGTGTTTTGTCATGAATTCAGTGAGACTTTCTTTCCATAAGCAGTGCTACTTCTCCTCTTCTACCTCGTCATCTTCACTTCCATGGATCTCCCCTCTACAGTTTGTAAAAGCCAAGTCTCGAAAAGCAGATCCTCCAGAAATGTCACATGCCTCTATGGAGTCTCAAAGGAAACCGAAATTTATTTCTCACGAAACTGCCATCAACTTGATTAAACGTGAGAAAGATCCACAACGGGCTTTAGAAATATTTAACAGGGTGTCAGAGCAGAAAGGCTTTAGCCATAACAGTGCCACTTATGGATCCATACTTCACAAGCTTGCGCAATCAAAGAAGTTTAAGGCCATTGACTCATTACTTCGTCAAATGATCTATGAAACTTGTAGATTTCATGAAGGTATATTCCTCAATCTCATGAAGCATTTCTCAAAGTTTTCTTTACATGATAGGGTGCTTGAGATGTTCAATGCCATTCAGCCCATTGTTCGTGAAAAGCCCTCGCTGAAAGCTATTAGTACTTGTCTTAATCTCCTGATTGAATCAAACCAGGTTGATTTGGCACGAGATTTTCTATTGAACTCCAAGAAATCTCTCAGGTTGAGACCCAACACATGCATTTTTAACATCTTGGTTAAACATCATTGTAGTAATAGAGATCTTGAATCCGCGTTTGAGGTTGTAAAGGAGATGAAAAAGTCCCAGGCTTCTTATCCCAATCTGATTACCTACTCAACCTTGATGGGCGGTCTCTGTGAAAGTGGAAGACTTAAAGAAGCCGTCGAACTGTTTGAGGAAATGGTTGGAAAGGATCAGATATTGCCCGATGCCCTAACCTATAATGTGTTAATTAATGGCTTCTGTCGCGAAGGAAAAGTTGATCAGGCCAGAAAGATAAAGGAGTTTATGAAGAACAATGGTTGCAGCCCTAATTTATTCAACTACACTGCCTTAATGAATGGGTTATGCAAGGAAGGAAGGTGGCAAGAGGCCAAGGAGCTTTTTGTTGAGATGAAGAGCTCAGGTCTGAAACCTGATACAGTTGGTTATACTACATTGATTAATTGCCTTTGTAGGGAAGGTCGAATTGATGAGGCGATGGCGTTGCTTAAGGAAATGAAGGAATACGAATGCCAAGCAGATGTTGTTACTTTAAATGTATTACTTGGGGGATTATGCAGAGAAGCTAGGTTTGAAGTGGCACTTCAGATGCTCGAGAAACTGCCTTTTGAGGGTGTTTACTTGAACAAAGCAAGTTACAGAATTGTATTGAACGCATTGTGCCAGAAGGATGAAATGGAGAAGGCAACTAATCTGTTGGGTCTGATGCTGGAGAGGGGTTTTTTCCCGCATCATGCAACATCGAACGATCTGTTAATTCGACTTTGTAAAGCCGGAATGGTAGACGATGCAGTTACGGCAATGTCGGGATTGGTCGAAACTGGGTTTAAACCTGAACTACATTGCTGGGAGTTTCTAATTGAACTGAATTGCAAAGAAAGGAAGTTGATCCCTATGTTTGAACTACTTGATGAGTTGGTCATAAAAAGAATGTAGTCATAATCATATAGGTGGTATCTATTCTCCTGAATCAATTGGAAACCCTATTTGCCTGTAAAACTTCCTTTTTGTGATAAATTTGAGCATTTGATTCAATGACCTTCTTGGTCCCTAATTTTGCAAGTTTAATCATTCTAGTACTTGTATTTTCAGAGACTCTTGTTTAGCCTCCTCCAAACTTAAGCTGACATGATTTTGATTTTTTTTTTGTCATCTTATAAAAATAAAAGAATTCAAAAATAGTTATTAATGTTCTTGAAATATTAGCGTAGATTTTTTTTTGGCTATAAAATTTTGAATATTTTTTAATTTGTTGGTAACGTGATAGAAAATGTCAAAAATAATAAAAATCGGTATTTTAATAATGGTTTATTGTTAAACTTATTGAGTAGATTTAATAATAAAAGAGAATGTTATTTTTCTTAGAGGATTCAAGTTTGAGCAGCTGGCTTGGGATAATGTTCGTTGTCAATGCCTTAAGGGTTATCTTGAAGTTATATTTTTTTTCTTCAATGCGTTTATCCTCCAAGGTTAAAAAGCTTGATAAAGATTCGTGCTTCTCTATCATATATGGGGTCAGAATGCATGATTGACTGAAAATGTATTGGAAAGTGGGGATTTTCAAATTGTTGCTCTCAATTCTGCCAAAATTGGGTTTTTTTCCCTTTTGCACAATATACTTGTTCTTTTGTGTGTATGTTGTTTCTTCTGCTGTGTGGAAAATGGTATGAGCATTGTTTGATGATCTAATAGTAATCATCACTTCGCTTTGCTATCTACAAGCACGTAGGTGAGTTACTTTCAATCCTCCTTGTATATATTGTCGGGCATTACTGTAATGTCATTAAAATGTAGAATATTAGCATGAGCCATGGCTGAATATCATTGCGAGGATCGAAGCGTCTGATGCATTTCCGGTTAAAATTGGGGTTAATGATTTGATCTTTGAGTGGTTTTGTTAGATCTGTCATATGTTGGTAAAGATTGATATCTATAGTTACACAAATGTTTCTGAAATTAAAAAGAAAAGGTCAAGATTCTTATAATAATATTATTACTGCATAATCTCCTTCCATTACTTGTGCTTGTTGCGCATGTTAAAGAGGTTCTTCTGCTCCTCTTTTCTTTGCAGCAATACTTGTTCATGAACCGAATAGATATCAGGTATAACCCAAATATAAAATTATGTGTTCGTTTTTAATATATATCAATTATTATATTATAATGTATATATAATATTATTTAATTTTAAATTAATTAATTTATTTATTAAATACCAAATCTAGAGAATTTTAACTGATCACTTTTTTTTTGTTCCTTTCATCTCCATCAGGGTCACTCTACTTTGACCTGCCCTCATTCATCTCATAGTCATGCCACCCTCCTTATTCCTTCCGTGACCAACAGACTAGCAGTAGTCTGGTAGTCCATATGCTTTGTTGACAGTGGCGGATCACTAAGGTTCTAGAGGTGAATTTTCTCCGAAATGCTGTATGCTCGGCGAATATGGAAACCCAAACCCCGAGACACTGTTGTAGGCACCTGAATCGATCTTATTGCATTAAAATGCAAGGCCTCATCCAAAGAATCTCAACGATTGTACATCAGATATGGTGCGGTGGTTGTTGTGGATAAGCTCTCGATATTGAACAAGTCCGAGCTGGTACCTCTTACTACATCATCGTCTGTTATGGCGATTCTAGACATAGTTTCTTCAGAACAGAAATCGATAATGTTTCGCAAGGTGGTAGGAGCACATTCAACGACTCTAGAGATGGATCTTCATGATCGACAACAATGGAACTATTATTGTTCCTAGTCACTGCCATTTTAACGTGGGATGATTTTGATTGTTGGTTAAGTATTGGAAACGAGAAGCCAGAATTCCCTGAAGCTCTTGCTGCTGTTGTTTGTATCTCTTGCCGTTTTTTATCAACTACCTTGTGTCGTAACCGGTTTTCGTCCGGGCACGAAATATTTATTTTGGCGGGAAAATCGATATGAATAAATGGTTTTGAAAATAATTTGGGGAATCGCCATCGGCCTTTTGGGTCAGGTAGGTCGAATACCTAAAAATTATTTTTTAAAAGAGTTTTAAGAAAACATCAATTAAAAAATTGAACTGATCTGCGTTTATAACCAAAAATTCATTCTTTTTAATAATAAAAAGGGATTCGTGGTCGGTTACGTTTAGGGAAGGATTAGCACCCCTACAACGCCCAAAATTGGTACTTTTTAATTATAAATTGTCTCTTATTATTAAAATTTAAAAATTCAAAAATATATTTAATTTATAATCCTATTATTTCAAAATTATAAAAATATTTATTTATTTAAAAATATCAGAAAAGAACTTCTAGGTGCCTTAAGACAGTTCTTTTCTTTGATATTGATAACTATTAATTTAAATAATATTGTTTAATTTTTAATTTTAAAATATCAGAATAGGACATCCAGTTGTTTTAAGACTGTCATTTTCTTTGATATTGAAAACTAAATATTAAAATAATTTATTTAAAATAAATATTTATTTATCATATACTTTTAACAATATTTAAATATATAAACAAATAAAAATTAAAAAAATACGATTCTAACTATATATTTAAAAGCAATAAAAATACTTAAAATAAATAACTAAAATATAGTAAAATTAAAATTGAAAAACCTAATTCATAATTAATCAGAATTATAGGGATTAAACATGCTATTTTCTTATTTAATAATTTAGTGACTAAATTAAAATAATCTAAAATTCGGATATTAGAATAAAATAAATTAAAAATATAAACTAAGGATTAAAATATTATTTATTAAATTAAAGGATTAAATCTATTATTTATCCTAAATATATTATTTTAATATAAAGGACTAAAATAAAAGAAATTAAAATTAAAGATCTGAATTAAAAGTATTATAAAATCGATTTAGTGACTAGAATGTAAAAATTACAAATTGGAATGGCTTCGGACGGGGTTTACCCTTTGTGAAATTACAGAGATACCCTCCCCAAAACGACGTCGTTCGGGAGAGTGTATTTATAACCTAAACCGGCTGGCCCTACGGGCCAGCTTCTCATTTCCTTTTCTCTGTTCTCTCTCTAACAGAGAGAGAACAAATTTCTCTCTGCCCTCTCTCTAGCTTCCCTCATCGGAGAGAAGCCGGTCACCGGACGGCAACCGTGTGCCGCCGTGACTGTCACCGCCGGCCACCGCATCCGGTGGCCGGAAAAATTTATTTTTACACTAATAGATAGATCGGACCGTCCTAAGGACGGTTCCGGTGTTATTTTCTCCTAAAAAGCTCCCAATCGGAGAGAATCTACAAAAGTACCTTCGGTGTTTCGAAGGTTCCGGTGAGATCCGGTGGTCGGGGCTTTCTCGGTAAGTTTCTCTTCTTCTTTTTTCCTTCTTTTTTGTTTCTTTGCTGCTGAGATCGTTGGTAGTATTTTGTATATATATTTTTTTTCGGTTTTGTCTCTCTGGGATCTGTTTTCTGTCTTCCTCTCCCTTTTTTTTTTCAGGTTCGGGTGGTGGCTTTTATAGCCACCACCGGTGTGGCCATCGAACCGGTCCGAAGAGGGGGTCTCGGTGAGTCACCGGACTACCAGTGGTGACTCACCCCGTAGCCATGGCGTGGACGGCTGGCGTTGGAGCTTCTGGAGCCTTCGGTTGGGACGTGGCAGCGGCGGAGGTGGCGAGAACAGCAACGGCCGCCGCGTGGCCCTAGGGTATCAGACCCTAGGGTTTCCATCTGGAGCCATCTGGACCGTTGGATCTTGCCAGATCCAACGGCAACAAGCTGAGGCGGTTGGGATTAGGGTTTAGGAAACCCTAACTGAAACCCCCAAATGTTTAGGGTTTCTGGTTGGTCTGGACCGGTTCTGGTTTGTTTGTAACTGGGTCGGTCCAGTTGTAATTGGGTCTGTAATTAATTATTTATATATGTATTTAATATATATTTAATAATAATAATAATAATGATAACAATAATAATAATAATAATAATAATAATAATAATAATAATATGGGTAAAAAAAATTAGTATCTTCAGCTGCCCCTCTTTGCTCATTCTTGTGTTAACAAGAATAGGGCAAAGATGAAAAGATAATAAATTTTTTTATCCATTTGGCTTCACTTGATCATAATGGAGATATTGAATAAATTCTTCTCTCTCTCCAGATGAGTTCTTCTCATTATGAACTTTCTGCTGGGGATGATGATGACCTCCTTTTTTTCTGTGATAGAGTCATTCAAAAGGTTGAATAAGCTTTTGATGAGTTCTTCTCATTATGAACTTTCTCTTCTTTCTTCAGATGAGTTCTTCTCATTATGAACTTTCTCTGAAAAAAAATAACCCATCAAGTAATAGATTTGAGCAAAAAGGTTGAACAAATTCTTCTCATTATGAACTTCTTCTTCCTTCTTCAGATGAGTTCTTCTCATTATGAACTTTCTCTGGCAAAAATAATCCATCAAGTGATGAATTCAGACAAAAGGTTGAACAAATTCTTCTCATTATGAACTTCTTCTTCATTCTTCAGATGATGAATTCAGACAAAAGGTTGAACAAATTCTTCTCATTATGAACTTCTTCTTCCTTCTTCAGATGAGTTCTTCTCATTATGAACCTTCTCTGGCAAAAATAATCCATCAAGTGATGAATTCAGACAAAAGGTTGAACAAATTCTTCTCATTATGAACTTCTTCTTCCTTCTTCAGATGAGTTCTTCTCATTATGAACCTTCTCTGGCAAAAATAATCCATCAAATGATGAATTCAGACAAAAGGTTGAACAAATTCTTCTCATTATGAACTTCTTCTTCCTTCTTCAGATGAGTTCTTCTCATTATGAACCTTCTCTGGCAAAAATAATCCATCAAGTGATGAATTCAGACAAAAGGTTGAACAAATTCTTCTCATTATGAACTTCTTCTTCCTTCTTCAGATGAGTTCTTCTCATTATGAACCTTCTCTGGCAAAAATAATCCATCAAGTGATGAATTCAGACAAAAGGTTGAACAAATTCTTCTCATTATGAACTTCTTCTTCAGATGAGTTCTTCTCATTATGAACCTTCTCTGGCAAAAATAAT